TGTGTGTGTGTGTGTGTGTGTGTGTGTGTGTGTGTGTGCGCGCGCTTGTCGCCCATGTGGGGAAACGGGAAGAGCAGTGGGTGAGGTTGGGGGAGATCAGGGGAGCAACTATTCCCCCGCCCCTCCGGATGTAGACTCTCTCTCTCTCTCTCTCTCTCTCTCTCTCTCTCTCTCTCTCTCCCCCATACGGGAAAACGAGAAGAGGGGGAAGTGGGTGAGGTTGAGGGAGATCAGGGGACGAACTATTCCCCCGCCCCTCGGGATGTAGACATGAAAATCCTTGCAGTCTTTCTAGCCCCAGTGTACGTGCGATGCATGGCCTTTCCCGTACTCTCCCAGAGGCTGAGGGATATTGGCATCCGACGCATACACATTGATATGCAGAGGATGATGTGGAGGAGAAGGAAGACATGGAAGAGGAGAAAGACGTGAGGAGGGACCATGGCAAAGCTAAACAGAAAGAGAAACGCTAATAAATAAAGAGAAAGACAAACGAACTCACCATCGCGTCCTCTTCTGCGTTGTCCCTTTCAACTTCTTGACGTCAGCATCCTCATCCTTCTCGTCATCATTATCATCATCATCATCATCATTATCATCTAATTATCTTCTCCTCCCTCTCCTCTTTCCCATTGGAAACTTATCTTCTCCTCACCATCCCTGAGCGATCTACGGGTGAGTGAGTGAAAACGAAGGCATTTGTGCGTTAGCTCTTCCCTCCTCCCCCCCCCGCCCCCCCCTCCCAGTAAAAGAAAGCTATGCTCTTTTCGCCCTTTCTGGCGAAAAGGGACGCTTGTGTGTACAAAATTGTCCGGATACGGAGCCAGTAGGACAGGGAGATCAAAGGCCCGCGCAGCATGAAGCCTCCAGGTACACCGGCGATAGTGCCACTAGGCGGGCAACATACAAACTAAAAATAGAAACAGCTGCAAGGGTATGGATCTCGCAAAGACGAATGACTGGACTGAGAACGAAGCCAAGACGGGTGGGGAGCCTAACTTCCGTCCTTTTCTGCTACACTAGATGCGCGCACCGCGAGCACCCTCAGGCAGTAGATTCGTGACATCGACGGCTAGGATGATGCTGCAGCATGCGATCATGGTGAAGTGGAACGCAGCCCCATCTTAATGCCACAGTGGTCAGGGGTCCTCTTCTCTCACGCCCGATCCGGCTTACGGCATAGTTCTTTCTTCATCCATCCATCAGAGTTCCAACTCAGCATAACCTCTTTACCAGCAATCTTCACTCCCCCCTAATATAAACGGTACAGTGGTCAGGGCCCCTCTTCTCTCACGGCCGATCTGACTTATGCCATTGTTCTTTCTTCATCCATCCACCAGAGTTCGAACTCACGCCCGATCTGATTACCAGTTAGTTCGAACTCACGCCCAACCTTCTCACAGACGTTTACCTGTTCGAACTCATGCCCATAAGGGCACAGAGTTCGAACTCATATTGGCACAGAGTTCGAACTCATATTGGCACAGAGTTCGATCTTTCAATCCCCTCATATGGCACAGAGTTCGATCTTTCAATCCCCTCATATGGCACAGAGTTCGATCTTTCAATCCCCTNCCCTCATATGGCACAGAGTTCGATCTTTCAATCCCCTCATATGGCACAGAGTTCGATCTTTCAATCCCCTCATATGGCACAGAGTTCGATCTTTCGATCCCCTCAGAGTTCGAACTCATAATAGCACAGAGTTCGAACTCATAATGGCACAGTTGTTGTTGTTGTTTTTTTAATAATGGCACAGTTGTGTTACCGTTCAGCCGCGAATTTCGATCCCCTCATAACTCGAACTCATAATGGCACAGTTGTGTTACCGTTCAGCCGCGGTTCACTCCACTCTTAGAAACTAAGGGACAGCAAGAAAAACGTATCCATCTACTTATCTTTATATTCTCGTATGAGGGGAAAGACGCGGAGAACATACTGCAATTTCCCTCCACTACCCTTACTGTACTAAGAAAAATAAGAAAATTCCGAGCTTCGATCCACTCCATATCCTACTTAACCGACATCACACTTCACTTACCGGACCGATCTACCCACCCACCACCTCTCTCCTCCTATCTAGCAACAAGACCTCTCCCTCTCAGTATCGAGCAATGCCCGACAGAGTGCACCGGTCCCATAACATATATACTTGCATACATGTATCGGAGCGCAAAGACGAAAAAAGACGAAACAAAAAAAGGAAAGAAGGAAAGCTCCGCGCCTATTCATCACCTCTTAGGTACAAGGCCGGCCACGTGGATGAAAGGTTGAGCGCCGGCTGCCCCCATCCCCGTGTGTCACAAGGACCCACTTGCATGCAGCCATAAGGCAAAGAGGTAAAGAAAACGAGGAAACCAAACCTCAAAGAGGCAAGACAATTTCTTCTTCTTCTTCTTCTTCTTCTTCTTCTTCTTCTTCCTCTTCTTTATACTTCTTCTTCTTCTTCATCCTCTTCTTCTTCATCTTCTTCTTCTTCATCATCATCCTTTTCTTCGTTTTCTTCTTCTACTTCTTCTTCTTCTTCTTCTTCATCAGTTTCTTCGTTTTCTTCTTCTTCTTCTTCATCAGTTTCTTCGTTTTCTTCTTCTTCTTCTTCATCTACTCCCTCTCGACGTCGCGTTGATGCTAGTCAGCCGGGTTCTTTATCTTACCGACAGCCTGCTCTGACACGTCGATATATAAACAGTTGTCACAGCCCCTCGTTTGTTGTCTTCTTCTCCCTCCCTCTCTGCCGCCTACGGTTTACCGGGCAGCTCTGTTTGACGATATATACACATAAATGCAATTCCCCTTCACTGCAAAAAGAACACGCAAGAGAAAGCAACTGAAAAAAGAATAACATTGCGTGCACCAGGGACTGAACCGTTTCGCCAAGAGAAGCAAAGCAAATGATCAGGGATAGAAATTCCTCGCTATCCAACAGGGTGTGCTGGGTGGGTGCCCGGGGGGGGGGGGGGGGACCGATCCTCCTCCTCTCCCTCAGTATCCTCCACGCATCCTCTTGACCTCCAGCCCACCTTCTACTACTCTTCGTTCAGAACTCACCGCCTTCAGTTCCTTCCTCAAGGAAATCCACTGCATGACCCCTCCATTAAGGTCTACAACGAGACCTAGTAATACAACACCTTTCCTCTCCTCTACACCACCCCAATTCGCTTCAATTAAATCCTCAAATGCGAATCATAAGCAGGCACGAGAAAGTAGCGTAGCTAGGGTCGTTTATGTTTCTTGTCTGATAACTAAAGAGAAGGAGATCGAGAAGGTGAGCCCCTTACTCAAAATTTTGGCCTTACCTATGCGCTCCCATCTCCCTCTGTCCCCCCATATCTCATTCACAATCCAGAGCTTCACCATCTCATATGGGGACAACCGCAGGTAACGCGCACATACTCTACAACCCTGCCACCCTGCTTCCCTCCACCACAACCCTTCCCCTCCTTCTCCATTTAGTTTGCCACTCTTTCAATCAAAATTTTCAAGAGACCTGCGTTACGCGCACTCGCCTCCCCAAACCCACTCCACTCCATGTACGGAGCCTCGACCCGCTACATCACCAGCTCCTCCCCCTCGCGAGATGTGCCGCTCTCGAAACCCCTCCCCCTATTGTGTGTCCGCTGCTGTAGAAGAAGATAACGTACCCATCCCCCTCGTTTGCCTTCAGATTCCATCCACAGGATTGGTTAACGGTGCTGGGGGCAGTCCTTTTGACTTGTGCCGGTGGAATAGGAACCGGACTGATGCTCCCCAGAATGGAAAAGGAGCCAGGTTCTGATTTACAAAAGAAAAAGAAAAAAAAAAGTGCTGGGGGCAGAAAAAGAACGTCCAAATTTTAGCGCCCATTCCAGCGAGAAAATTCGGCCGACAGGGATTATTTTTGTTCTTTTGGGGAACAAATATCTCTCGAAAGAATTGGTGTGGGGTCCTGAGGTTAAGAGCATTCTCAGATTTCAACAAGGGCCGTCGACCGGAGACAGAAGAAAGAGCGCTCTGCGCAATGAACTCTGCGACCCCACAGAATCTGAGATGCATACATGTCACATCCGTCCATCCTTTTCACTTGCGCCACGTCATTTCAGGACACTGCACTCGGATTCGCCAGGTGGCATCCGTCCATTCTTTTCACTTGCGCCACGTCATTTCAGGACACTGCACTCGGATTCGCCACGTGGCAAACTGCTACGCAACTAGAACTGTTACCTCACAGGTCACAAGATCGAATCAAGAATGATTTTCTAATCTGACAGTGGCTAACTGCTATGCACCACGTGGCTAACTGCTACGCCACGTGGCTGCTCCATTCGTGAAGAATTCTCCCTACAAACCACAAAAAAAGGAATCCTCATTCTCTCCAAGTTCCGATCGTACAGGCTAGTTCCTCGTCAAAATACACACACACACACACACCTCGTCAAAATACACACACACACACACACACACACACACAAAACACACACACACACACACACACACACACACACACACACACACACACACACACACACACNAAAATTGGCAAAAATTCGTTCACAAAAGTTCTTGCACAATTAGTGGATGGCCCCGTGTGACCAGCCAAGTACCAAATCCCCATTTCTCCAGACGGCCGCGACCTTGTCCCATCTGAAACATTACACCTTCGCAGAAGAAACCACGGCCGCGAGAGGCCGTCACAAGAATCGTGTGCAGCAGCACGGGAACAGGAATAAAACTGCTGTCCTCAAGGAACTGGAGGCCTTCAGAGGCCTGAGACCTTCGGCCTTCGGCTTTTTGACCACTGAATTGACTTACCGGTAGGGCACGGGTGCGCAGCCCGTAGTTCGTTTGTTTATGCGGTTCGGGAAGGGTAAGGTAGTGATTATGCGGTATGTATGTTTTGTCATGTTCGCTATACACAACTCGAAGAGTGTGTGTGCTGTCTCTTATACACATCTAGATGTGTATAAGAGACAGCACACACACACACACAAACGACAAGAGTTGATATGACGATGGAAATTGTGAGAAAGGTAAAACAACAGTTTTCTTATTCCGAGCAAACAAACAAATAACGGAAAAGGAAAATCAGTTACCTGATTGACAAGTGTCCCATGATAGAGGTCCGCAATAAGCTGTTCCTGAGGAGTGCCCTTGAGCGACTGCTCAATGGCATCGAAGAGAAGGCGGTTGAGTTCGTGGACATCGTGTTGTTCCCGGGCTTCACCGCCATCCCAACCGAAGCTTCTCGTCAGCGCCTCCGTTGAAAAGGCCTTTTGATCGACGGCCTGCAGCCACGCGAACAGCTTCTGCAATTCTGCGAGTCCCCTTCTTACCTTCCTCTTCGGTTTGTTGTTATTACTACTGCTTGTATGTCCCTGCCTCCCTCCCTTGACCCCGCCTTCCCCTCCACGTGAAATACCTGTGACGCCCTCACGTAAACCCCCTTTCCCCGACTCCCAAGTCGTCTCCTCCTTTTCCTTACTACCATCTTTCCCAGCCTCAATTCGCTCACTCTCATACAAGTCGCCCGATGCTACTCCCGGGTCTGCTCCTCCTCCTCCTCCTCCTCCCTCCCCGCTGCCTCCACCAGTTAACTGCTCCAACCAGCTCTCCATCACTCCCATATGTACCAATCCGTTATTCATGTCCCCACCATCGCTCTCTCCCAATCCCAACCGGCTGCTTACTCCCTGCTCCTCCTCCTCCTCCTCCCCTTCCCTCGGCGCACGTGACTCCGCGCCGCGTTTGTTGGCATCGACCTGCGGAAATCTGCTACCTTCCGCTTCAATTCCCCCCTCGCCTGAACACCACCCCCCTTCTCCCTCCTCCATCACCTCCCCCCCGGTGCCTTTACCACCACTCACGGGGGGATCCTCCTCACCATCCCTTCGGTTGTCATCGCCATCGCCATGGCGATCATCGCATACTGCGCCACCGTTCACGTCCGCGATAGCCACTGATGATTGGTCCCTATCTTCAGCGCACGCTGAATCCCCATCGTTAACAGATTCCCAGTTTTCGCTCTCACTCACTCCCTGCAACTCAACCCTCCACAAGAGGGAATTGACATCTCCTTCACCCATACCCGGTGCTGCTCCGCTTCCCGTGATCTCCCCCCCCCCTTGACATCTCTTATTTTCCTCTTCCCCAAGACTAACCGCGGGGATGGCGCCGCCGGCGGCGGCGGAAGCGGTGGCGAAGGGTTGTTCTGGCGCAAGTGGAGCGGAGATCTCGGCGCCCGTGTGGCGCCGCTCATCAACGAAGCCGCTCCCGACGTCTACGCTCGCCGGGAACATCTCATCAGGACCGAACGCTCCCTCTTTGTCTTTCACTGTCCCCCCCCCCTCGCCGCTCTCCTCGACGTCATCATCGTTGGCATTCGAATCACCCCCATCCAATAACCATTCCACGGCCCCGACCATGTAGCCCCGGTGTCGCTTCAGCGCCCTCTTCACCGCTCTAATTGAGAACCCCATGGCCACAAGAACCGCCTCGGCCTCTGACATCTTCCCACTTCCTTCATCGTGACGGCTTCCAGACCCTTCTTCTCCTCTCCTTGCTCGCCAGTGGTCCTCCTCCTGCTCCTCTACAGCTGCCCCACCCGCCGCCTGCTCGCGCTCAGTGCCTAGTCCATCATCATTGAGGCGCGTGGCGGGCGGAGGAGCTGCCAACTCGCCGCAACCTCGCGCAGGCGTTCCCACGACAACCACTCCCGCGCTGCTCCCCGCCAACTCCCCCGCACGTGCGTGCGAATCCCCATCACCCGCCCTTGCGCTTGCCCCTGACGACGACGACGACGACTGATCGAATCCCTGGTCCAACGGCATCCCCACGTCTATTCCAAGGTCCGCTGCAGAAACCTGATACAGCCCTGACCGCAACTCCGGCGTCATGAACATCGTCTGTAGAAGACTGTTCAGGTAGCAGGTCGTCCCTTGGTTCATCAATCCCGCGAAACCGCTTTCGCCGCGCGGTTGAAGCTCCGACGCTAGAGGCTTCAGGCCGCCGCTGGTGCTGCTCCCGGCGCCCAGAGGGGATGACTGCTGCCATCCCGCCGGCGCTGGATGCGGCCCATACACCAGGTCCTCCTCCTGGAACAGATTCCCCAACATGTCGCTAATCAGCCGCATCGGTCGGCTAATCAGGCGCAGAGAACGCCTCTGCGTAACGACAGTCGCCGGGGAGGCGTTGACGACGGATATAGCCCGCCGCCTGAGCTCAACCTGTCACAACAAATGGATGACTGGCGGATCGTTCGCCCGCACATCGAGTACATCAATCAACAACACCTCATCATGTGATTTTCAAGAGCGGAGGCAACCCAGGCCCCGCCCCGCCGCGCCCAACACCACCAACTGTCGCTTCCTTGCTTGGCAGCTGCACAATCTGCTCATCAGACTCGTGCGTCTCTACATTGAAAGAGAGAGGAGAGAAAACAGAGGAGAGGAGAGGAGAGGAGAGGAGAGCACAAAGAGAGGCCCTCGGTGGGTGGGGATGGAAAGCGGAATAAGAGGAGAACAAGGCGTGAGATGAGACCTTAAGACCTTAGATAGATTGATTCCCAAGTGCACGAGAGGAACAATGTCTTCCACCATCCACTACGCACTTTTGAATAGATTTCGCGTTGCGTGCGACCTTGCCACGTGTCACCTGTCAAGGAGACCCCGACCGGCCGCTCCCGCCATCTCCTAGCATACCGAATTTGACCGACTGTTGTCGTCGCCCTCGCTGCTCTCGCTCCCGATCATCCCCCTCGGGAAGACCCGTCCACCTGTTCATTCACTCCGATTAATTGGCTTCTGCCTTGCGACCGATAGAGGTAATGACAACCAAGACAACCATTCTCGCTGTCTGCTCCACAGCTTGGGCATCCAAGGAGTGGTACCCGCACGAGCGACTTCTCCTTTTTCTGCTCCTGCCGCAGGGATCGCCACTGCTCATTGTTCGATCGAGACCGCAATCAGACTGAAGTCCTTATGATGGCTGTCTGCTGACCAATTGACAGAAATCCAGCTCAGTCTTTCAGCCAGTCCGTTAGAGATGCATCTGTTCTCTCGTCCCCGCCACATTACCTCTGAACACTGAGCGCACGCGTACTCTCAGTCACACTCGTACTTTGTTCTTCAACCAAATCGGGCGCAAATTGTGCACTGAAACACCCAGAGGGAAGTGTGTTAGTGTGAATCTGCCCTAATCAGCACCAATGGGCAGGCAGACGCAAAGGAAAAGGAGGACCTGGTATGGAGGTGGAGTAGGAGGAGGAGGAGGAGGAGGAGGAGAGGAGGTGATGTAACCTGTGAACCTATCCGAAGATAGAGGAAAATTGGTAACCAGGCAACGAATCGAACGGGCTATGAAGCTTCACCCACCGACCGACCTTCACGGACCGACTGAGGGCATACTCACACGGGAACCTATAATCCCAAAATCCCGAAAAAAGGGGAAAAGGCCGGTCACACGGATCTACCAAATCCGCAAATGTACTATTCCAGTGCCCATTTGTCAGCGGCCTGGGAAGCCGCAGGTGACCGCAAATGTCCTTTTTTTTTTTTTTTTTTTTTTTTTAACTACACTATGTTCTTCTCTCAAATTCTTTTACGCCCACTACTCCTAAGACTATATAGAGAGGACCCCTGCAAGCATAGGGCCTCGCAAACGAGGTAATTCATGTTGCCTCCCGCCCCAACAGCGGTAGTCAGGGATGGGGTGGGGCCGCCGGTGGGGGTTCATTTGTTGCATTTTTCTTCGAAAATTGGCAAAAATTCGTTCACAAAAGTTCTTGCACAATTAGTGGATGGCCCCGTGTGACCAGCCAAGTACCAAATCCCCATTTCTCCAGACGGCCGCGACCTTGTCCCATCTGAAACATTACACCTTCGCAGAAGAAACCACGGCCGCGAGAGGCCGTCACAAGAATCGTGTGCAGCAGCACGGGAACAGGAATAAAACTGCTGTCCTCAAGGAACTGGAGGCCTTCAGAGGCCTGAGACCTTCGGCCTTCGGCTTTTTGACCACTGAATTGACTTACCGGTAGGGCACGGGTGCGCAGCCCGTAGTTCGTTTGTTTATGCGGTTCGGGAAGGGTAAGGTAGTGATTATGCGGTATGTATGTTTTGTCATGTTCGCTATACACAACTCGAAGAGTGTGTGTG